CCAGGCTGCTTTAGAAAGGGTTTCACACAGAAACGCTGCCAGGTTGGCTTTTGACCGCTCAACTTCTGGCTGGTCTCCAAAGAGGTGTTTCAATACCCAGTGATAGCACCTGCAAACCCCAACGTGTTTGCAGGGCAAGAAGGAAGCTGCCGGCAGCCCTAGTTGCTTCTCACCCCGCGGGGGTTTGGGAGCCGGGCTCTGCTCCCATCGCCTGGCTGTTATTTCCTCCTGTCTGGAGAGTTTTCTGTGAGATCGCATCGCATGGCAAAATTCCAGTTTTTCCCAGATAAAATTTGATCCCTTAGAAAAGGAGGAAATCTGAGAGCAACAAACCCAGGTTTCTGAATGGTGGCCTTGGCTAAATTAAAATGCAATCCAGCCTGTCGTTTTACACGGAGGGTTTTTATCCTCTAGAGATGGCGGTAACAAAGTGCAGCTGCTGCAAAGCCGAAGGGCCCCGCGCGAGGAGCGAGGCCCGGGCTGGCGCGATCCAAACCTCTGTCAGGCTGCAGAGTGCTGGGATGTGTCTGGGATCGCGGGAGAGGCGCTCGCCGCTTCCTTAGGGCCCCGAGGCTTTGCTTCCCATCAAATCAGGGCTATCCTCAGGGCTAACAACATGATCCCAGCCAGCTCCCAAAGCCACTCTTCCTTCTCGGAGGATCTTTTAATATTACGTCTCAGCAAGAGCGGTTTGCATTAAATTTTATTGATTTACAGTTTGCACAAACATAGTTTGCACTCGGCTTTGGAGAGTGGAAGCTTTTAGGTTTGGCTGTGCTGGGTTATTAAATATATAGCCGGGGTTTGTAATCCCCTCGTTTGCACAAGCAGAGCCTTGCCGCGGGAGCCGGCCGCGTTTGCCATCCCAGCCGGAGCAAACAGCAGCGGGGCAGCATTCCCGGGGCGGCAGCAAGCGCAAAACCTGCTATCAGTACAAAATTCAGAGCAAGTCTTCTAATTGCGTTTGCACCCAATTCAACGGCAGACTTTTTCAGGCACCAAAAAACTGAGCCCAAAAATATCTGGATTGAAGAACTGTGAAATACCAGTGAGATTGGTTCTCATGAGGAGGGTTCTTCCACCTGTCTGAGGGCTTGACCGTGGAGCAGGGGGCCTTCCCCTCCGCTCCTCCTCCTCGCTCCGGCTCTTCCCTCGCAGCTCCGGTAAGATTTTAGCTGTGACAACACAACCCCCAGGGCATCTTGTCCTTCCTACAGCTGCTCTGCGGCCGCGGGACCAACTGCGGAAACCTTTGGCGGGTGCCGGAGGAACGCGGCGCCTTCTTGGCAAGCAGCTTCCCCCTGCACTGGTGCYGTTTCTGCACACATGTGGGCCAAAACAGACCCCAAAAGCCGCTGGCTTCATTTTGTGTTTAATTTCTAAAACAAACGGGACTCGCCAAGAGGTTATTTGCYAACAGAAGTGCAGAATCTGTGAGGTTCCTAAGACTTCTGCTCTTGGTTAGGAGCGGAGCAGGAAGCATCCCGTTAAATGGTGGTTATTTAACCGGGAACCTTGATCTCTGAAGCAAAACACGCCAAAATAAATGCCCCGAGAACCGTCTTAAAATAGTGCAGCATTTCCCAAGGTTGGCCAGATGARGAAGCATAAAATGTTCCCAAAGCTGTTTTTATTTATTCTATTTATTCTTATGTTTTTGGAGGATAAAAATGTAAACAGTAGACCTTTCCCTTCTCTGCTGGGTGGGATCCTAGCCACAGAAAAACGCAGCTGAAAGCGAGGAGGCCCCTTCTGCCTTCTGTGACTTGGCACGGGAGGAGCGGCTGAGCCTCCTCGTGGCCCTGCCTTCCAGGGCTGTGTTTTCCCTTAACCCTTGCACGGGATTTGTGTGGAATTATGATTTACTGAACTTCCAATAGCTGCAGAAGCCTTACAGGCTGGTTTTGCTGCTGGGCTTTTCTGRGAAGTCTCCTGTGCTCCATAATCCAAACCCTTTTCAGAAATCCCACCCGAGGGCTTTGCACCATCGTGGTTTTCCAAAAGGGAATAAAGGTGCCAACACGGAGCATGGCCTTTTACCCTGGAACGCCAGAGGCCAACAGGGAGCCCAGGAGGAAGGAGCAGAGCACCCATGGGAGACTCCACTTTGCTGCTCTTTGCTCCTTTCTCCCCTTTTTTTTCTGCAGCCCATCTCAGATGAGGTGCGTTCGTCTTGATCCCACGCGGGAGAGCTGTTGAACGTGCCCAAGTGCTCTCGACTTTTAAGATTTCTTTTAAAAAACACCTCCTGTCAGATATCAGTGCTCCTTTTTTGGGAATGGCAGGATATTGGCTTGACATCGGCTGCCAGAAAAGGCTGGGTAAAGCTGACGGTCTAACTCCAAATGTGCAATATTAACAAGAAAAAAAAAAAGAACAAAATAAATTATTACTGTTCATGCACTTGCTGCCCAGCATCCCCTTCTAACCATAGCAGGTTGTGCAACGTTTGTTGGGAGCCTCTGCTTTTGTTTGCCTCCTTTCAGGATGTCAGGGTGGGAAAGTTTTGACCTTCATGTTTGGACTTTGATTTCCAAGTTTCCAGGTGCGCTGGGCTGGGTCGGTGTCCCAGCCCGGAGCCGCCTTCTTCCTTGTTTACACATGCTATGTAGCAAGACTCTTAACACTTCAGGAGCCTAAACATTAGATTTTTGTCATTTGGAAGTGGCTTTGCAAGAAGGAGCGGTGGTTGGAGAAGGCTGGCCCATCTCTCCATCAGATCTCTCTTGAATCACACAACTGGACCTTGAGTTTGTAAGTTCTCAATCACCCTTTTAGCTTATTTCCTCTGGCTTCAAAGTCTTTCTTCTTGCTAAGAACTGCTTTTCACATCACTTCTTTTAGCTGGAGCCTTTTTTTGAAAGTGGAACTTTTTTTTATTTTCTGCAGTCAGGCATTTTTTTCCTCCTCTATCATCATTTTTTTAAAAGCTGAATGGAATAAACTGCTCCTTCCAACATCAGCTTGAACACTGGCCTTTATGCRAAACCCAGGGAACTCTTGAGCCAAAACTTGATTTGCAGTGAGTACTTCTCCCTCTCTGCCCTGCAGGTAGCACGCAGGGAAGAACGATCTGCTGATGAAAACTGTTGAGCAGCTTTCATTGCAGCGGGGCTGTTTCCACCACCTGCTGCATCCTCATGTTCAGGCAGTGCTTTCTAGATCAATCCTTCGGCCAGGGTGTAGGACTGGAGCTAAGTGTTAGGTCTTCTGGTCTAACCTAGTGGCTCTCTTCTACCTAGAGAAACCTGCAGCCGCAAGCGGTCAAGCTGCAGCTCAGCATCCATCACAGCAAGGTTGTCATTTAACAACCCATGGGTCTGGTTTGCTGAATCTTTTGTCATTCCCAGTAGCTGTGTTTGAAACAACTCAGTGATATCTTCATTTACACGAGCGTGCTCATGCTCTCGCTACCTACGGAAAAAAATAGGGGAAGATGAAAATGATTCTTCCATCCTCCTGCCAGCGCCCAAATACACTCGAGACCTGCTCAGCTTCTGCTTTTCTTGCTTGCTTTCCAGGTAGCCTTTTGCTGCCGTGAAGCTTTTGCTCAGTGCCGAGTCCCTAAGCAGGTTGCATCTTGTTGTGCTCCCTGGAGCACGTCCCAAAGCACTTGTGGAAGCRCGGTGGGCTTAGCTGTGATGGGAAGTGGTCTCCTGTCCCCCTTTGCTGGTCCCTCGTGTGTGTGATGCAAGGAAAGCTGCGTCCTCAGAGGCTGCCGAGAGGCTCAGAGCTGAACACTGCGGGGGCATTGCTGGAGCGTGGCCCCTCATCACCATCAGCTGCGAAGCTGAGGGTGACCCAGCAGGCACCACCAGAGGCAGAACCTGCTGCTAGGTTGTCCTCAGTCCTGCTGAGCTTTGGATTTGGCYGTTGCTGTTTCAGCAAGCGCTGGAYGGCCTGCAGTCTGCCTCCCAACCAGGTATCTAGCACTGCGTTTAGTGGTGTATCTAGACAAGCTGAAGTCCAACAYGAGTGTGTCTGGACACTAAAAATCTAATGCTTGTTGTTCCCCATGTTGTCCTTGTTGGGATGACTCTTGCACCTACTAAAAGGCATCTAGAGTAATAACTTGTAGAGCTTAATGGTGGTTTGGGGTCACTTGTAGATACTGTCAGGGGACTATTGGGCCCAATTTGCAGTTCAAGGGTCTGGAAAAGCATTCCAAGTCTGGATTCCGCGTCTGCAGGAACATTTGCTGAACCAAGGGAAAGATGGCCAAGAAGGAAGCAACAGATTCRTGCCTTTTATCCCATATCACAACTTGTTTGATGTCTGCAGTCATAGGAGAACTGTCCAATCCAGAAAACTCCTATTAACAAGCGTGGTTTACCACAGCTAGCCTCTATAGGGTGTTATTATGCCAAGCAAAACTTTTCTCTAACCTACTCTGTGTATAAGCTAGCCCAGATGGTCTTTGGTTTATAAGCACAAAAGGGCTGCAGCGGAGATGGTGTTGAGGGTTGCACCGCGGTGATTTGGATGGGGATGTGGAAAAGGAGGACGTTGTGGCCAGCTCCTCTCCCTTCCACCTGCCACTTCGACCGTTTTCTCCTTGCTGCCATGAAGCTCTCGCTTCCTCAGCCAGGAAATAAAAAGACTGGTTGTGATTTAATGGAGTTAAACACAAATACGCGCAGAGCTTTGGTCTTTGCATGGTCTGTTAATCAGTCGCAGCTGCGTCACGTATAGGACAGTGATCAAAGACACGGAGCGTGTGTTTGATTTAGAAAGGAAGACAGAGATTAGTTTTGGTCCCGGGAACGGGTTTCAGTTCTGGAAACGAGGATTTGAACGACAAGGTTCAGTAATTTCTAGGTTAGGAGAAGAAATGAGATCTGAAATAGTTCAGAGCAGTTGAAAAGGTGTTACCTGTAYAGCATATATAGAGATAGGAAGGTGCCCCTACACAATATCTCTGCAGTTTTTGAACTCAGTGTTTAATTCTCCTCGTAATTAATTGTCTCTTTCTTTTTTTTTTTTTTTAATTCTTCCTTCAGCATGAAAGACTTTCCAGGTAAGAGTTTTATTTCTTGGGTTTTTTTTTTTTTCTGCTGAATATTTGTGGGTAGTGTATTTTTAGCTTGCTTTGGGGGTTCGCAGTACTTCAAATCAATGCAGGTGGGATTGGTCGTTCAGGCCTTGCCTTAACTGAACTGCTGGTCTTTCTTTCAAGCTTTGCTCCCCAAATTACTTCGCTGCTACTCTGTAGAGAAGAAAATCCTCTATGTACTACAGGCCCTTCTTATCGTGAGGATGGGAAATGCATGGGAAATCACTACCCTCTTGGGGTTTGGGCTGCTACCCACTGCATTTCTTTCTTTTCTTTTTAAATGCTGGTGGCTCCCTTCCCTTCTTGTGGCCACGTTGTGCCCTGCAGGGGCTGAGTGCTCTGAGCAATCGCACTGCTTGTTCTCTGCTGGGGCTGGCACAGCCTCGACCCCCAACCAGTCAGACGTGTAATGACGATCCAGACTGAGACCTGCTCCCTGGTGCTAAATTGGCCTTGTGTTTAGGTTGGAAGCAGCTACAAATCCCACCACGAGCGACCCCTCGTCCTACGGCGATCGCGCGTCCAGCCGCTCCAGTGCCTACACCCGGAGAGAGAACCGCCTAGCCTCCCTCGGCACCAGAACGGAAGAGGAGAGTAACAGGGACTACAAAAAAGTAGGATTGCCTAAAAGTACTGCGGATACCACATGTACCTTAAAGCTGCTTGTTGCTGCAGAAACCTGTACTGAGAGTCTGTGGCAAGGAAAAGGGTTTTTTTTTTCATTCATTGCAAATGACAAGTCACATAGTCTGCAAGCTGTCATCAAGCCAACATAAGGCCCTTTTGTGTTTCCATTGCCTTTGGAAATCACACTTTTTTGAATGCATCAGCCTTTCAAAGGGGCAATGTAAAGAGGATGCAAAAAGTAAACAGATTAAGATGGCCTGAATTGTTAAGTGGTTATTAAACTAAAAATTATAGTGCCTGAAAGTCTTGCGTGGTAGACAGTTCTCTACTCTTCCTTRTGATCAGATGTGTCCAGCAGAACCAGATGCTGTGCCTAATTTGTCCTCTTAAAGTGATGGAAATTCTGCTGGTTTGAGGGAACTGAAGAAAAAATACTATCATCTTCTATTTAGGGATGGCCTAAAATTATCCTGAATTTTCTTCCTTTTTGAAGAAAAAGCCCAGAAAAGCAACTGAGGTGTGCTGTGCTTGGGAGCACGATAAAGTCATAGGTTTAGGTACATTCAACATCCATACATTCTGTATGGAATACAGTTCTTTATGGTATTGTTGGCCAAAATTAAACCTCCACTTTTCATTGCTTCCTGGCTCTGCTTAGAGAATTTATAAAATGGACCAACTCTTTTCTTATTTCATTGGAATTGTGAAKCCACAAGTAGAGCTTTCAGACTCAGCCCATTTGCCCTTCTTTTAATGTCCTGGTAAGGAGGAGCAATCCAAAGCCTGCCGCTGTGTCTGTTCAGTGCTGAGGATGACACACGGCTACCTGGAGCAGTATGGGCAGGAGAGGGTGCACTGAAGAGCAGCTTTGTTAATTCAAATATTCTGTTTGTTTCTGCAGTTATATGAAAGTGCTCTGTCTGAAAATCAAAAGCTGAAATCGAAACTGCAGGAAGCCCAACTTGAGCTGGCTGACATCAAATCAAAGTTGGAAAAAGCAGCCCAGGTAAGGGAAATCAGGCTCTTTAGATCGATAAAAAWTGAGCATTGGCTGATGAGCAGCCAAGTTCTAGTGTGGGGAATTGTTTTAATAGCTTCCTACTTTTATTTTTTGCAGCAGAAACAGGAGAAAACTTCTGACCGATCTAGCATGCTGGAGATGGAGAAACGGGTGTGTATCCCTGTAGTCTTTGCCTCATATCGCTATGGTGGGCATAGTAATTTCTTGGAAGGAAATGCTGATTAAAAGATGGGTTAGGTTTTTGCCTCATGGAGTGATGCACAGTGATAATTGTGTTCTGACCTTTCCTGTGTCAGAGACTTTTTTGCTTAGCCTTTAGATCAACTAAATCTAATTTCTTTCTTTTGTTACATGAAGCTGCAGACTTACAAATTACATTTTGTGGTGCTGAGCGACTGCTGATCCATTGTGCTTTAAAATCTTTTCATCCTGATAAATAGAAAGACTGTTTCAAGGGAGAAGGCAAAGGGGAACCAAAACACAACGCTAGCTGGGTTGTGTGATTATACTTGAAATCTGAGTGTTTGATGTTCCTTCTTCCTAATTGAGCAGTCAAATTATTTCAGTAAATTAAACCTAACTTGCATTCTGTAGCTAAATCGTTGTCTTAAATGATAATAGGTATTGGGAAGCTGCTGCTAGGTCCTCCTAAAATGCTTCATATCCAAATTTTTAGGAGTTTTTCTTCTTTCTCAAAGCAAATGTTTAAATCCCTACCATGAAAGACTGTAATTATTTATATGTAAACTCTTCCTGGGATTTGCTAGGGGTATTCCAGAGTAGGTCACATTCAAGATACCCATAGGAGCGGAGCAGAATTAGGCAAAGCACATGAGCAGTCTCTACAGTCGTGTGATCTGCCTCCCAGCAGAGGTGCCTAGGTTGAAATTAGGCAGGTTCCTGAAGCTGAGCTGCCCCACAGGTCCACGACACTGCTGAGATGCTCACCTGAGCATCTTTATGCTTTTCAAGGTATATCACTTTGGGATGCTTTTCAGTGAATGCTCTATAGAAATACTAGACTCTGGGTGTTTATTTTGTTTGTTTTAAAAAAAAAAATGTACTGTGAATTTTTCTGCTAAGTCCACATGGTCATCTATACTTTGAATCCTTCCAAACAGGAGAAGCGAGCCCTGGAGCGGAAACTCTCTGAAATGGAAGAGGAGATGAAGGTATGAAGTAATCTACTCCCTCTGCCTAATCCTTTTTTTTTATGCTTTGTCTTAATSTCCTTTGGGATTGTCGTGCCAACAGATGTGGCACAGAAATAGGTTAGTTAAGGTATACATGGGAAGGGACTCGTGTATCACCTCCGARTGTGTCCTTTACACAGTCGGAATTTACATTCATGGCCGTGTTCTCTGAACACGCAGTACTAATACAGCTGCTCTTTTACCGTTCATCTGATTGCACTGTATGTTTATTTGTTACGCTGATTGATCTGAGAACTGTGAAAGCTGTTTCTCCCTAAATGCATTCCCAAACTAACCTTTTGTGGCATCGATGAGTTTCAGTGTGCTGATCCTCTGTGCGCTGAAAAGTCTGCGGCCCCAGTTAAGCCCTTGTGGTTCCCTCCAGATGGGTAAGAAGGCGAAGCTGGCTTTGGAGATCACGCACACTAGCCAGGGCAAAACACGGATATGTCTGTAGTCCTTTCCTAAAGCATGTTGAAGGAAGGCTGTGTCAGTAAGCCAGCCGGGAAGGCTTTCAGCAAGGAGGAATTTGCTTCCTGCTGAAGTGTGTGGCATGGCTTCCTGGCACGGGACGTCCCGCCACAGACTGCTCCTTTGCGTTCTCCTCTCTCTTGTGTGGATGCTTCCGAGGACAGTAGTCCTGCTGTCATGGCTTGGATGCCCTGCGAGCACCGGGCTAGCGGGGAGCACTACAGAGCAAGGAAGGGGATGGTTTGCTGCCTGGGGACACACCAGCCTTACATCRGTTTATGCTGTGTACTTCTCTACTGCTCGTGTTCACCAAATGCTCTTTGTTCTGCGCCTTGTGGCTTCGAGCATGATCCAGATGGGACCAAGCTGCGTCTCTTTAGCAAGCGAGGACCCAGCTCAGGGCTGAGAGCACTGGCCTCTCCCAGCACACTGCACAGGTGGAAGCAATTTCCTGCCAACCTGGAAGAGGTTCCAGCTTTGTGTTGCTGTTTGGAGCTGCGTCTCTACCAGGCGCACATCTTGGAGAGGAACCGTTGGCTTGTGCTGCGCTCTTCAACTGCAATGAGTAACGGAACGGTTTGGGGGAGTCTTGCTGCACAGCCTCTTGTGTTCCTTCAGTGAGCAGAGAGTAAACGTGGACGTGTGAGCTAGAAGGACAAAGGACTGAAGGTGCCTGAATTCAATATTCTGTGTTCACTTAACAGGTGGTAGCTTTCAGTTCCAGGGAGACTTCCTTGTAAATACARAATATGACCTTCGGGAGAAAACACAGACAATAGCAGTCTGCATATTTTTCAGCAGGAAAAAATGTTTCTGTAGCTACGTCGATCACACCAAAAAACAATTCAGTCCTTAGAGTAAAAAGACAAATTGGTGTCCTCTAGTGGCCTGTCAGTTTTGAGCATTTACTTTAGTTCAGAAAGCAATTAATGACAGAAAGTGCCTGCAAGGACTGTTGGRTGCACAGAAATTGCCTAGAGCTGCAGATTGGCAGAGACCAAGATGGTTCAGTGRGAAAAACACTGCTAAAAGTTTGGCTTGTAAGTCAACAAGTAAGACTTGTCCTTATATTGTCCCCAAAGCAGCTGGTCACTGTTGGAGACAGGACCTGAGCTAGAAGAGCCTTTGGTCTGATCAATGTATTTGCTATTAACAGAAGACCCCAAAGCTGATATTGAGCTATCAGATTCCCTAGCCTGACACTTACACTTTGCTGCATCCCTTCTTCATAAACCAGCCAAAGCAGCCTTGCATTAAGTAGACTRAATAGATGTGAAATTTGAAAAGATCTCTCCTGGGGTGCTGCTGCATTTCCATTACTCTTTGCAAAAACTTGAGCATGTGGTCGGTCCCCTTGTGCTCTGTGGCGTTTCTTTCCTGACAGCCACCCAACAGAAAGCAATTGAAAGTCTCTGAAGACAAAAGCGTTCAACCGGACGAAGCTCGGCGTGCTCAGGTCTGTAAGGAGAGCAGACTTGCTGTGTCCACTTGCCTTAAAGTGAGAGAATCAGTTTGTACAGACTGAGATAACCTCCAAAGAACGTCCGTGTTAATCCCAGTTGTCTATGTGGCGCCATGAGAACCAGTCATGAGAACCATGAGAACCAGTCTGTTAATTCTGGTTAGACTTGCAGTCCATTTACTTCATCTAATTGGATAGCTCTTGAGCAAAATAAGAAGGAAGAAGTAGCTTAGGCAAATCCATTAGTTGCATTTAGCATGAAGAGCACGGAGGGAGAGTTAAACCTCACCTGGGAATACCGCAGTTCGCTGCATTTTTCTAGACTTTGAATTGGACCAGACTATTCAGGCCCACGTGAAGTTTGAGCMTGGAGTGTTTGTATCAAGCAGTATGTCCAGTTCTGTCTATCATGTGTCCTGGCCAGAGCAATGTGAATGGTTTTCCTGTCCTCACGGTGGCTTCTTAGCAACAGGAGGTAGAGGTTACAGAAAAAGCCTGGCTTTCTGTGAGAGAAATACTTTGTACTTCATCCTATGCTTGAGATAGGATCTTTGTCCCCTACGTAAGTGTAACCACCACTAATGAAGCCATCAAGAAATGGACTGGGACAAAATAAGCGGTCTCAAAGAATTCTTTGGTGCTAGTGTTGCTCCTGCAGACCTGCTCTTGCAAAGGGAACAGGATAGTACTGCCTTTTCCTAGGTGATCCCAGAATTTGGCTGGAGATACAGGAGCTTGGCAGAGGAAGGACAAAGAAAATGAGCATTTGCACTGAACTGAAAGCACCGCCAGGTGCCTGAGGTCTCAACTTCACACTGCAGTTTTCCTTGAAGGTCACAGAAGCCTCTTTATTCTGCAGCAGCCGTGCCCTGCCAGCCTGGCACACCGTTATCTGCCCCCGTGTGCCAGGCACCATCTCCTTTAATGGAGGGCTGACCCGAGCAGCCGGCCGCCCGCAGCCCAGGCTCCCAGCGGAGCGATAAGCAGCCCCGGCGGGGTCCCGCGGGCCGTGCTCCTTGCCCKTGGCGTCCAGCCCAGCTTGCTGGCCGGTGCTGCTCGTCCCCGGGCRTGCGGAGTAGAGGCTGTCCTGGCCGCTGCTCTTCGCAGGATGCTCCTGCCGCCGCGCGCGGCCTCTGAGCTGTGTCTGATGTTGCCCTTGGGAAGCTTAGTGTTGTGGAATGCAGGTGGTCTCTGCAACAACGCTCATCCTTTCCATCTCACATCACCCTGCTCCCCGTTCCACGTGTGTTCGGGTCTTTGATGCCTTCTGCCAGCCAGATGCTCCAGAGTTCTCTGCCATTAAACAGAGAGCTTTGATAACCTGCAACAGCCCCAAAAGAGAGGGCTCTTCTGGTATGCATCTTCCTCCTGCCTCTCCAGGGCATGATTTATCCCGAGATGGACACCTCAAAGCATGGGATGAGTATCTCCTTAACTGGCCACTGGGGCAGCCTGCCCACACAGGGGAGATGAAGTGATGGGGGGGCCRGACTAAAATTTAGTAAAAAACAAGTTTCACCAGTGAGATTTCTCTGAAGCTTCTGGTGCTTTGCGGGCTACAGCACTGTCTGAGGAGCTCTCACTTTGTCTGGTGTCAAAAGTTTGGTGTCAAAAAGAGGCTGAAGTTGATAAGCCTGGTTCCGGTGAAAGGGTAAGTAGCAGCAGGCAGMTTTTTAGCCAACTTCTTGCTCTCGTCAGGCTTGCTTGAGTCTTGCAAGGCTCTTAGATGAGATATCTTGTTTCCTTAGCTGGACATAAAGTGGTTTGGAGTAGTTAGGAAGGAGCTGAAGGGTAGAGGCAACGTAGAGCACTTCTCTTCCAAACAGGTAGGAGCTCTGGGACAAAAAGGTGCCAGGAGGCAGCAAGTCAGCTCCAGGCCATGCAAGTCAGATCTGAATCCTTCATCACGCAACAGTTGCATCAATAGTCCTGCTGGTTGAGGAAAATCTGGTTAGTCCATCAGATAAGCAACCTCTCTGTGACTGCTTACATGATTAAAAAAAAAAAAAAGAATTCATTTACCAGTGGTTCCTTCCTTCATCTCCAGGCATGCACGGGGAAGAGCAAATGGKTTTGCTGACAAGATGCTTTGATTGCAAACTAGGGTGGTTTTTTCTTTGCTTGAACTCAGGGTTACTCGTCTCAGATGTTTCCCTTCCTGCCTCCCCTCTGCTCGGTGTCTGTGCTCCTGCTGCCCAACTAGTTACTGAGAGGGAGGAGGGACGGAGCCTGTCCAGAAAGCAGCTCTCCAGCCCTCCCTGTTTCTTGGCACTCACCATATAAATCCCCAGCACAGGATTTGCCTTTCGTGTCACTGGGAAGAAGCCTTCTGTATCCCCAAAAATGTCTCATGTCCATGCAGCTCTCACTGCTTCGCTGTTTTGCCTTCTGCTTTTATGTTCTGTGTGTTGCAGCCGTGACTGTGCTCGCCCTGCCTCGCTGGGCTTTGTTTCTGCAGCGACCTTTGCCTGTTGAGCGGTTGCCCTGTGTCCATAACGCCTCCCATTCAAGATGCTGCCGTTCAGGTTCTCACAAGCAGTTTCAATCCCTAAATTTTCCCCTCTGAAGAGCAGAGAGGAATATAGCAGAGTGGCAGGGAAGAGTTGAATCGAGGCAAATAGCTGCACACAAAGGAAAACACACACACACACGTGCACACCCTGCGGCTGCCTTGAAACAGAGCGGCCCTCCGAGCCGTAACTCGGGTGACACAGCGAGGAGGGATGTGAGCTGGGACCGCTCTTCAAGACCACTTTAGCTTTGAGAAGCCAGTGAATTAAAGAGTTTTAAAGAAATGGGCAATTGCCAGGCTTTACTAGACCTGTCTGAAGGCCCTCGGCGTGGTGCTGGGCTTTCCTTRTGTGCCCGCGAGCTTCTGCCCCTCTTGCCCTCACTGCTGCTCATTTTTCTTTTATTATTCCTTCTTTACTGCTGTGAACTAAATACACGTTTCTGTGCCCCTTTTGTCTCTGTGCCATGTTTTCTCTGTATTTTCTGTCCCCTCCTGTCACTCTCTGCAGAATCTCCACCAGCTCAAACAGATTCACACTCTGAGGCAGATGAATGAGCAACTGCTGGCGGAAAACAGGGCTCTGACCCGGGTCGTGGCCAGACTCTCAGTGTCTGCCAGGTCCCCCGAATCAGAGGAGCTGTAGCTGCTTTCCCTCCGGCTCATCTCGCCTCCCTCTTCCACCCTTCCAGGCAGGTCTCCGCTCTCCTTCTCCGAGGTGTCCCGCACCTCGTTGCTCGCGGGCGTCTGGGGAAGCTTGTGCCTCCAACCCGGCATGTGGCAGAGGGTTCTGTGGCAGCTGGAAAGCCCAAAGCCCCGTGCTCCTTCCCCGCTTGGGCAGAGGCTCTCGGCATAGACCGTTTGCATTGAGCTGCGCTGATTTAGGCTGTGCTTAGAAGACGCTGAGCTCGGCCACTTTACTAACCACCCACAGGCAGATTTTCCCTTCTGGTGCACATCGTCCCAAAGAGGTCGAGGAGGACGTGTCCATCCTTGTCCCGCGGAAATACTGGAGCAGGTGGCACCAAAAAGGGTCCTGAGGAGCGGGAGGTCGGCTGCTTCCCAGTCGCTTAGCCCTGGCTAATGGCTTTGGGGTGATTTCTAAGTGCCAAGAGGCCAGGCAACAKCCCCTTCCTCAGACTTTTGTCTCCAAAGGTGTGTGTTTCATGGTATGTCTCTGATCGGAATAGAATTCTCACTTAATTTGACATAGTTTGGTGAGAAACCAGCACCTTGCAAATAAGCCTATCCACAGCCAGAATTAATAATTTAATGCATTTCTGGGAATATCATGAAATATGCACATTTTGAGCAGGAAGGCAATTTGTTAAAAAAAAATCACTYCTCAGCAGATTCTGTTGGTCATTTGAGTAAGGAAACAAGATCCTTCCCTCATTTAAAGAGCTTTTTTTTTACTGAAATTATGTACTGCAGCGTCTCCTCTGCCTTCTGCGGGCTGGCTATATAAGGAAGGTGAAGAGATAGGAGGCAGACCAGATGCTTTTTTGTCTTTCATCTTGTGTTTTAAATTCACCACAGAATAATTAGTATTTAAAATCCAAGGTTGAACCTTCAGTAAGCTTGATGCTCCTGTGTAGTGCAGTGAAATTTCAGCCTTTCTTGCTGCCTCCTTGCTTCAGTGCTGAAGTGGAGCAGAAAAAGCTTCTTCCTCCAAGCCCTACCAGGATTCTGCAGGTTAGTAGGGAGGTGTCCAGGCCCCTTTGGACAGCTATTTTATTTAAAGAAATGAAGCGGTGTGCTCTAATGGGCTGGAAGTGGCACTAGGGTATGAAACAAATCTATTCTTAGAATACAAATTATGCCAAAAATGATTAATCATAGAAACAAACCCACCAGGGGAGCTGTGGCTTCCCATTTCCAGGAGTCTCAAATCAAGACAAAATGTTTTTTCATACACATGCTTGTGGGCTGAATACCTGAGCRAGCGTTCAATATTTTTTAGCCCAAATAGTGCAGATGGGCGCATTCAATGATCTCACCRTGTTTCTGGTTTAAATCTCCAAAAACGTTCTCGAGTTTGTCACAGACTCATTTATTATCATTAGCGATGACTTTAAGTTACTCTYCTGCCTACCTTGCTTTGAGGTCCAGGAGGGAGAATTGACCAAATTCCTTCCAGACTTGCAGAAATGGTATTTTGCAAATTTAAGTCRCATGTTTCTCTCTTTCTGCTTGGATAGAATCACATTGTCACCTCTCCCTGCTAACGTCCCCTCTCCTCAGAAGGTGCCACCTCCTTTTCTCTCGTGCAAACTCGCCGAGAGCTGTAGCAATGTTACCCGCCTGTGCAGAGCTCTGCAGAGCTGCAGCAGGGCTGTGTGGCTTCCAGCTCACCTGATTATTTTTTTTAATCTCTTCTAGCAGATTTAGTGAAGGGTGTTACTGCTGCCCGCAAACCTTGTCTCACTCGGGCCCTTAGACATCGCAGCCGTGCAGCAGGGCCGCTGTTGGAAACCGCAGCAGCTTTGACTGCTGTGCCGCAGCCGGCGGCTTCCTCAGGGATCTCGTTTTGCCTAAAATCCRCATAACTCTTTCCCCCTCCTGGGAGGAAGGAAATATGGCCAGTTTGGCTTTCGCTTTCCGAGCGCTTCCCTGCAAGCCGATGGGAGTCCCGCTACGGCCGTGAAACTTCTCCAGCTGGGAATGCTTTACACGTGCTTCCCTTCCCTGCTCTCCCCGTTAATGAGCAAGGTTGCACGGAGGCGCCGGCGCCTCCAGGAAGCCCTCACCTTGGGCTCGTTGCTCTCTGCTGTTGCTTACGGGAACCCGTGGCAGAATTGTCTCTCCCAAAGCCAGGAAAACAYGGTCAGGATTTCAGAGCGCTCTCTTACGAGATCCATGGACACGTGCAAGGTGGCAGGGCTCCCYGAGCAGGGGGGTAGAGGGGAGAGGGACAGTCCGTCCTCACACCGCRCCAGGGGTTGAAGTGACTGTGGCGCGTTGTACTTGAGGACCCTGTGCTTTTGTGGCGAGTTTTAGAAGAAGCCGASGAGCACATGGAGACACACACGGTGAAAGAGCAAACATTTCCCTATTTCCCTGTGCTTCTTGGCACTTTGGTGATGGGAGATGCCTTTCATGGGGCGGTGGGGAACCGCCCCATGCATGTGATGGCCTCCCCTTGGGGAGCTGCTGCTCCCRTAGCATTGGTAGTGCCTGCACCAAGAGGACGGTGTTGTTCGACTGGAAAATAACAACTGGGATTTTGTATTTGATGGAATTCCCATGTCTCTGAGATCCATAATGATGTAGCTAAGCCATCGCTCTGCTCATGCCAGGGTCATTCATGCCTGCATGTGACCCCACGCCGTCCTAGCGTGTTCCAGCAGGGTCTGCGCCAGCCGCCCGCAGCGCTGCTGGGACCCTTGAGGAGTGCTGCAGCTCTCACGTTACCCCTGTCATGTTCCTCCCTTCGTGTTACACCCTGAGACAGRCCAACTGGGGTCTCAGGAATCTCCTTCCCATTCCTGACCGAATGGGGACAGTGCCATGCCAGGACCTGTCCACTGAAGGTCACCTGCCTGCATTGTGGGAAATGGGGGGATTGGGGCTTGTTTGGCCAGCTGGAAATGCTGGAAAGGTTTTGTCCAAGTTATCTCTGTATTTCCAATAAAAAAAAAGCAGTCTCAWTTGGGGTTTTGTTGCAGCCCCTGTTTTGACTCCAGTACTGGASACTGAGCGTCACCGAGGTGTCTCCCATGTCAGTATGATCTCCCAGTCCTTTAGCCACAGTGTTAGCATTTGCATCAGGTATCTGTGGGATCCCAAGGAGACTTGTTTTTATTCTAAAAGAGATTTTGCAAACCAGGGTCGGAGCAGTTTTGAGTCAGAAATCCAGAGCGGATAGATATTGGCTTTCCTGGCAAAACTGAAAAAAGGTTGTCTGGGAAAATGGTCCTGATGGTTCTCCATCAGGTTCTCCATCCTGATGGGGATGCCACAACTCGGGAAAGGTCCTTGTGCTCCCAGCCTGGTCCTGCCTTGGCGCTGCAGCAGCTGCCAAGGGCTCCCTTGGCTCCTGGGCTCCAGGTTCCCCGTGTCCCCTCCACCCTTAGGTGTCCCTGAGAGCCAAGCCTTAAAACCCACGGAGATGTTATGGAGAAGTGTGCGGCGGTTTGGGAAAGCCCTGCGCGCTGTGGGGGCGGCCGGGAGCCCGCGGGGAGGCCGGGGCCGCCGGCGCCCTCCTCGCGCTCCYGCGCCCGCCGCCAGCCTCACCCTGCCCTCTGCTTCTCTCCATGCAGATTCTGACCGAGCTCAAGTCGGACAACCAGCGGCTCAAGGACGAGAACGGGGCGCTCATCCGGGTCATCAGCAAGCTCTCCAAATAGGAAGCCTGAGCAAAGGCAGGACGGAGAGGGGTGCCCTACACAAGCTGCCAACCCTGCCACCAAGCCCTCCCCACCTCTTTTCCTCCTGTCCACAGTACAGCAAGCATTTCAGCCATGGGATCAATGTGTCACGCCTGCCTTGCCCTGCCCTTTGCTGTACATTCCCTTCTTGCCCTTCCTTCCCCCACAACACACGCCCTTGCCATTTTATTATTTTTAATTTAAGCACGTTGTGGTATCTCGGACATTTTATTCRAGGGAGAAGAGAAATGTCAGGACTGGATTTGAGCTGCCAAATTGTTTTCTGCCAGAAGCCCAGTGTTGGGTGCCCAGCTCCAGTCTAGAGTAGGTAGGTTGGTAGCTTCTGCTTTTCAAAGTGATGCCGAAATCCCTGAAGACTGAATGCAGCGTGTCCAAGCCCGTGATGGCTGGGAAATGTGAACGGGAGCTGCGGCTCTGCGGATGCACGTCAGCTGCCCACCTAAAATGTAGAACTCTGCTTAAAAAGAGCTGCAGTGAAAGACAACGGGGCCGATTTCTGAGACGGGCTGGTGAGAACTGCTTTGCACAGAGACCTCCTTCTCCTCTTGCCCTGGTAGACCAAGTCCTTTTATTTAATGTAAGATTTTGAATCTGTTCAGAACCATCAGCACCGCATCTCAGCATCAGCCCCCTTATCTCTCACCCTGCTGTCTGGGTGATTCGGTAACATCTGGCCAGGGCTCCTGTCTCAGGTCCTATGCATTTAGCAGCATCTGCTTTTTGTGCCTGGACGCTTGTCCCTGGGCACAGGATGTATCACAGACACTTGCCAAGGTTTACTAAGGAGGAGCTTAAACCAATAGAGATCATCTGCAACTTTCACCTGCATCCATTTGAGCTGGGCATGAATCACCGTGCAGGGAAGTGTGTCAGCACAAGACTCCAACCTCCCTCTCCTGACAGAGGYCTGGAATTCCTTTCCCTTAAGCTGTTACGTGGAGGAAGAGCCGTGTAGAGGAGTCAGGTCAGATACTTCAGGTACTTGGCCTCGATGTTCAACGTGAGACTGACCAAGGAAATGCAGCACTGTTTTGGTTTGAGGGGATGGAGATGAGAGAGGGAACGATGGAGGTGGCATCAACCACCCATCCGTTGGTGAGGAGGACCTGACACAGCTGGGTGTCAAGGCAGAGGAACGTGGAGCAGGGGTCATTTGACCTCCTGCGTGTCTTGCAAAGGCGAAGGGGCAGGAAGGAGCAACCCTTGGGCGTGTTGGTAGCTCTGTCTCTAGGATGAAGTCAGAAGCTGGCAATAAGACTTGGCCTTGAATGAGACCTCACAAAGCTCTTTTGTGTTACCGAGACTCAGAAGAGTTTGATACTGTTCCCCCATGGGCATGGTAACTCCTCCACGTGATTTTGATGACGAGCAGCAGTAACCTGTTGTCAGACCTGCTGAGCTTCCTCTTCATAAACCCATCGCAAAAGAGACCTTCCCTTTTCAGAGACTTCTCCYGGTATCCAGACCTCTTTCCCCACCACTTCCCCGCATACTTGGCCTTTCCTTTGCCCTTTGTTGTCCCAGCTCCACGAGGCTGAGACTTAYGGTCGCAGTCATTGAACGTGTAGGTCACCATGAAGAAATGTTACCTACGTTCCCAGGTGCTTCTGCTGACCTGTGGCATGCGGATCCCAAGGGGTGGTAGGGATCTTTCTGCTACAAGCAATGTGGATGTGATACTTGAACACGAGTGTAACTCCTGACCTTGCTCAACAGGGTGAAAGCTCCTGGGCTTTTGGAGACCGCTGATTATTGCTTCAGGAAGTATATGAATTTTTTGCTTTTTTCTTTTTCCTTCCTAAGTCTCAATATTTGTCTTTCCCCTCCCCATCCCACCTTCATCCACCTCCCTCCCGTTCCCTCGAGAGCTGCCCGTTTTGCCCAGGGCAGGTCTAGCCGGAGCTTCCTCTCCCACCGCCCGGCCGGGGCGCGGGATGCGGTTCCCCCGGGACACTGAAGCGCTTCCTCTGCCACGTCGCTTTGGGGAGGAAGAGACCAAAGCTGGTTAATGGCTGAGCAGTGCAGAGCACTGGCAAGTCCAGGCATCCTTTCTGACTCCTTTATTTTGACCCTGCTTGATTTAACAGCTTTAAATCTTGAAACCTGGTCAATGCTTTTTCTGCACGCCTTTCCCCTCCTGGTGCAATTCTTTATGTAAGTACTCCTGCATTTCTTGATGTTGCCACTCTGCGGCGTTGCTCCTGGCTTCSGACGTGGCTTTCTCGCCCACCAGCGTGACGGGAGCCCCGGCACTCCTGCGCGTGGAGACGAGGACGTTCCCACCGGCTGGGGCTGCCCCCGGGYGCGGGGCTGGCCCCACAGCGCGTGGAACCCGGATCCCGGCACCACGAGGGACAGGAGTGCGGGCTGAGAGCCTGTTCTTCTCACCAGGGAGGGCCCTGGAGGTGTGAAGGAACCTGGTACCTGTTTAGGGAGAGGGTTCGACCCRTTCTGGCAAATCCCTCCTGCACTGACATTTTGCCCCTTCCTACCAGGCGACTCGCTGCGTTTTATCCTAGGGGACAATATGCAAAGGGTGCAGAAGGCTCAATCTGTGTGGCACCTTCCAAAGCCAAACCACTTTAGATGAAGTGTCTGCTTAGCACTGGATTCGCATCCCTCAGCTCTGAGTAGCCCATAGGACGCCCAATGTGTAGTCTCAGTGACTAGCCAAAGCTGTGAGTATTTCATGGGGACAAAAGTTCAGTGAAAACCAAATTCCTGCGAACAACTTTTGGTCTCAGTTAACCCTGSCTGACCTAACCAGTGCACTGAGGAGCTAAAATAATAGGAGACCTTGCATCTGCACTTGGGACAGAGTGCAAAGCAAGCCGGTTTTAAGCCTGATCCCTATTTGAATCCAGAGCATTTGCCAGAGGTGCTCTCCTTTGGAGAGCACGGAAGGTTTTTTGGTTTTTTTTTCTTTTTCTAAGCAATTGCTTGGGGTGAATTCATTTTTATTGCTTGGGGTGAACCCACCTATCGCGGCTGCGAGTTTGATGGCTCGTTGTAAATAAACTCCTTGGAGAAAGCAGGACTGAGCTTATGAGATGGGGAGAGAATGTATTTTTATGCAACTTTGAGTGGCCTTTCAAACCCTGAGATGAATGATTTGTTTTACTGGTTGTTGTTATATAGTATTATAAGTATTACGTGTTTGAAAGTTTGGGAATAATATTCACATCTATGATGCTTGTAAACACGACAGTATTTATAAATGAATAAAATAAGAGTTGATAAAATAGAAACTTAAACTTGGCTTCCATCTTTCCGTACTAAGGACCAAGTGGGGAGCGCGGGTGGGGGGCAGAGCTGGCGGCGGGTCCGGCCACCACCTGGGGAGAGCGTCGGGCCAGTTCCTTAACCTGTAACCTCAAAGAYGAAACTAAAAGCCCAGAGGATCATCGGGAGCTCTTCATTTTTTCCRTGTGCCCCCGTTTCCTCCAGCAGCTTTGCTCTATTCAGCACGTTCTGCATTGGGAGGATCTGGGCATCTGTCTCCCAGGGGCCACCTGCACGTCTGGGCTCCTGCTGCCGCGTCTCGCCGCGAGAGCCTCGTCCCAGATACGTTAAACGTCAGCCCTGACCTGGCGGCCGACAGCGGGGAGCTGCTCCGGGCCCGGCGCTCGGCTTGGGAAGGCCTCGCTTCCCAGCGGTGAGCCGGGGCGCACGGGGCAGGGTCTGCACCGCGGGAGGCCTCTCGGGGCACCGAATCAGAGGGGTTTAGGAGCCAGGAGCAAACTGCTGAAATGGCCAAGCGTTTGCCTGGCAGCTGCGCCGTCCCGCCGCACCGCTGGAGCCCGGCGCTCGCTCCCCACGGGAGCTGAGGCTGAACCCGGCGAAACCGGGAGCGCCGCAGCCCCCATCGCCAAACCTGCGGCTCAAGGGAAAGCTCCGTGTGGGTCTTCGGAGGCGGTTACTGCAGCTCCAGGAACTGCCAGGGGTTGTGGGTGCCCAGGACAAACCCGCGTCCCAAATGTGACCGTGACGGGAGCCAAACGTGCACGAGGACCCAGCAGCTCGGAGCGGAGCGGTGCGGAGCTTGGCGGTGACCTCGGACGTCGCTCCGGCCRCGCTGACCGGAGACGAGGGCTCGGAGGACGGGCCGAGCGTGCCGGGCGCCGAGGGGTGCCCCTGTTTTGGGGCTCCGGGGCTGCCGCAGCCCCCCGGCCCGGCTCCCCGTCGCTCCGGCCTCCCTCCCTGGGCCCGCGCTGGCCCCCAAGGCCGGTCCCTCCCTGCGGAGACGCCGCGAGCAGAGCAAAGAGGGCGAGGCGGGGGGCTCCTTTCAGCCGTTTCTTTAATAAGGAGACAGAGAGTTACAAAATAATGATCCGACACTGAGACAGAACCGACAGGGTCCACACGAGAGGGAAGGGCTTTAAAAGCAGCTTCCCGCCGGAGCTGAGCGCTGCGGACGCCGGCACCGGGACGAGGCAGCGGGCGGCAGGGCAGCCCCGGGCCCCGGGCCGGGGCAGCGCGGGGTCCTGCCCAGCCCCGCGGGTCCCGCTGGCCCTCGGCTTTTCCGCTGGGCCTTTCGGGTGCCGCCAGGAAAGGAACACGTGGGTCTTTCCCCACCTCCACCACCATCACGCTGAAGATGGGCACTTGGCCAGTCCTTTGCAGCAAGCAATGCCCAAGGAGATCCTCAGAAACGCTCCCGATGGCTCCAGAAAGCCCTTTCCACTGGACGCTCCTGGCTGTATCCCAATCCTTCCATTTCAGAGATGGGAAGAGAAAGAAACTTCCTCTCCCAGCCCTGGAGCTCTGCCCGGTGGCTGCCCCGGACAGGGGACAGCAGCAGGTGCCACCCGGCCAAGCCCTGCGGGACCCAGGAGGCGACTGACACACAGAGGCGGGAAATTCGGGATCGGGGTCGGTCACGGCTCTCCTGCGGGCCCTTCCCCGCCGGGGTCCTGCCGCGCTGGGGTCTCATATGGCTTCTAAAGTTGCTTCGACGGTGAGATGCACCAACACGACACAGGACGCCACAGCCACGATGGTGCCGCTGCCCGGCCACGGGCGCAAGGCGACGAGATACAGGCACAAGACACACATGGAAGACACGGCGGCGGCAACGCCGAGAGCTGCATCGGCCTAGGCATGCGTAGTTTCTTGGCATTATTTCTCTTCTTTTGCACGATTTTTGTGGGKTTTTTTTTTCTTTTTTTGATAGAAAAGGACAGGGAGGGTGGAGAGCGCTCGGCGAGGAGGCCTTCCTGCTCGCCGGCAGCTGGGCCGCGGGTGCGAGGCGGCCGGGGCGCGCGGGGCAGCGCCGGGCAGAGCTCGCGCCGGCGCCCGCCGCTCTAGCCATGCGGCTGCTTAGCTACGGCTGCAGCTCATGCACTGCTCTGGTGGGGATATTTATCTATACCTGCCTATATTTAAGTACACACAGCTAAGGGGCGGGAGGGGGATCAGAGGCAAGGCAGATGGCTTTAATATGTTGGTTGTATTCCCCTGTTTTATTAAAAAAAATGAATTGTTGTGTATTCAGTACAGACCCCTCAGCCACCCCAAAGGCTTTGAGCCCCAATGGAGAGCAGCGGGGCTGGGGCGCTGCTCTCGCGGGCAAAGCGGCGCCCGCGGGACCCGGGGTGATGCAGTGGGGCGGTGTGAAAGTGGAGGGTGCGTGCGCGTGTATGCAGCCCGTGCACGCTCGCATACCGCGAACGGCAGGTTTGGGGGCTCTTAGCAGTTCCTGGTGTTGTCCTTCCCCTCTCCCCTCCCTGCAAACACGAGCYCGGCCAAGCCCGGGCTGCAGGGAGCCAGGGCCACGAGAACAAGCCCTGCCCTGAGCAGCGTCCAGCACCTCAGCCTTCCAGCTACAAAAGATCCGTGTTTCCTTTCTCCCCTGGCTACAGGCCCGGGCAGCCCCGGGCAGGGCCCTGCTGGCACCTCGGCACGGCCGTGGGGCGGCGGGGGCTCCGTCAAGCCTCGTTTCGCCCTGCAGGTCCCCCCGCCTCCCCCCGGGGGAGGGACCCCCCCAGCTTGGCAATGCTACCAGCTGCAGGGACCTTTGTCACCCAGCCCGTCGGACCCCCATCACGCCCCCTGCCCATGCCAAGGGCTGCTCCTGCTTGGAGCCCAGGGTGGCACCGGGAGACAATGACAGCAGCACCGCGGGACGAGCGCTACTCGGAGCCTGGGGACACAGATGAAGCACAGCAGAAGGTGGCGGTGGAAGCAGTTTGTGGAGGTCTCTGGTCCAACCAGCAGTTCCTGGAGGTCCTGGATCTAACCTCAGGCTCAGAGCAGGACTGTTCCCAACATTAGGCCATGGCTTTGGCTAACGGAGCTTTGAAACCCTTCCCAGGATGGAGCTTCCGCTCTTTGCAGACCTGTCCGAGGGCTGCAYCTGCCTCCCAGGGGAGCCTTGGAGCCTTGTCCTGCCGCCCACTCTGCRGCCTGTGGCCACTACCTATCTGCCACCAAAATCTGCCCTCATTRTCTGCTCCCCGCTGCCCATCACATCTCCTTGGCCTCTCTCCTCATCACTGGACTGAAGCTCCCAGGTTCCTCTGCTTCTCTGTGGGCCCCCAGTGAGGAAGGAGGTGGGGGAGCCAAAGAAGGTGCTGTATTTTAGGTGCAGCATCCCCAAGGTCCAGTCCAAGGAGGGACCACCCCGCATCCAACCCAGGGCCATGCTTGCACACGTGGGTGCTGCATGGGGGCTGCTGAACCATCTGATGATGTTGGGGTGAGCTCAGCTTCCGCACTTGCTCCCCCAGCTGTGAGTAGCTTGCAGCAAGGTCTCAGCCCCGGGACAAGTGGGGCTGAGCACCCTGTGCAAGGTGGAGCTGTCCCCAGTGCCATCCCACCTTCCCTCAGAGCTCTGGTCCTGCAGGGCAAGCCCTGCTCACCGGGAYGGCCAAGCTGCTCCCTACCAAACTGTGCCACTTAAAACTCCAAGCGCTGCGGCCGCTCAGACCAGGCTCTTCCCACCAGGACCTTGGCCATGAACTTGAGCAGTCCTTGCAAGCAGAGGTCCCCAGGGACCTTKGCCAGAGGCTCAGCCGGCTCGTCCCCAAAGGGGTAGCCGGGACACAAGGAACCTCGTGGCTCCTTGGACTTTCTCAGCAGGAGGACTGGATTTGGGGGCAAACACTGGAGGGACTTGAGCTGAAATGGCCCTTGGGCAGCCACAGGCTTGAAGGACGGAGGAGGAGCCCGGCATCCAAGGCAGCGAAGCAAAACACGGTGCGTGAAGGCGCTGGGGGGACAGGGGCTGCAATGGGGACAGCAGCTCGCGCGGTCCGTGCTCCAGTGCAGGCTGTGCTGAACTGGGCAGGGCTGATGGTTCCTCCGCCTGCAGCAGGGCCCGGCGCTAGCCRGGAGCTACGGTGCTCGGTGCGGGATGTGCGTGGAGAGCGACACGCGCCGCCACGGGAAGAGGCGAAGCTGGAGAAGCTCTTTCCCAACCAGGGCTGACATCAGCAACACGGATATGGCTTAAACCCCCGAGGGGCAGAGGGACACGGGTGCGTTTGGCATCGAACAGCTTTGTGTGGAGCAGCTGCTCAATGGGCTTTGGAGGTCTTTGGTCCCTTGCTGGGCACGGCCTCGCTCTCACCCTCCCCATGGGCACCGATGCGTCCGTCGGTGGTGGGACGTCACGGTGCAGTGGGAGCTCCATGGGACCAGGGCATCCCAGGGCAGGGGGCTGCACATCAGGAACAAGCTCTGGGCCCTTGGAGCAGCCGCAGTTCACAGCAAGCACAGGGCCAAGCTCAGACCTGCGCCGTGGGGCTACCGGTTCCTTCTGCTTGCGTTTGGAGACCTCTCGGTGCAAACCTTCCTCGTGGAAGCAGCTGGATCCTTGGGTTTTAATCCAGTGTCTTCGGAAGCCATGTGGCAGTGCAAAGCACAACGGGACATCCATGCAGACGGCGCCGGCGCTGTCCTTGCTTGGCCTCTGGCCAGGGGCAGCAGCCAGCGGAGGCGGCGGCAGCTCGGACGGCGTCGTGAGCCCACCTGGTGCAGCCATTGCCTGCGCAGCCCATGAAGCTGCTCCTCCAAACAGGGCGTCAGGGCCACCTGCTCGGGCTACCAGGCCACGCGGGGCCRATTCCAACACTGCCTCCCTCTCTGCCCAACTCCCAGCAGGAAAAGCTAATCCTGGAGACGGCTGTGGGACCCAGCCGTTCTCATCCTACCACCACGTCTCTGTGAAAGGAGGCAGAGCAAGAGCGAGGAAGCGTCCAGRTCTCTCCATCATGTTGATGTCCACGCAGGTTTGCATGCCCAAGGCAAGCACAGTGGGTCTGGTCATCTCCATGCAACGTTCGACGGTTCCCCGTGTGAACCCAAGAGGGAGGATGGAGGAAACGTTGCTGTGGGCTGGTGATGCTGCAACCTGGGAAGGCCCCAGGACTGACAGTTGCTTTGCACCCTGGAAGGGACGGTGGGTGGAGGCAATGGGACATGCAGCAGAACAGMGCGATGTTGACAAACCAAAAAAAAAAGTCCATGTCTTTCACCTCTTCCCCTGAAGCTATTGGGACTGTCTGAAAACCCTTCCGCAGCCTTCAAAGGGTATTTCAGCTTAAAACAAAAAAACAACAAAACCAAAGGTTGCGTAACTGAGGTATCAATAGCTTGGGGTCATTTAAAATGTCCACAGGCCCGTGCCGTGCTGGCCAGCAGATGCTCCTATTTGTTTTTCCCAAGAGCTGCATCTACTTCCTCCTCCGGCTTCAGCGAGTGCCACTGGGCAATGGGTCTCCGGGGGTTGGCCAGCATGTCGGACCAGTGCCGCAGCTCCGTGCCCGTGGAGTTGCAGCCCGTGAATATCTTGCCAATGGCTTCGTTCTTCCCCAGCTTATCGTAATCGAGCACTGTGATGACCACCTGCACTTTCTAAAGAGGAACAGAAAGGCACAGAAGCCAGGCTCGCTCCGCGGCCTCCACCCCCGGCCCAGGCCCTGGGGTAGCTCTGCGGGGTGTCCCAGGGATGCTGAAAAAGTGAGCCCCACCACGACCCACACTAGGGACGGGGTTCCCTCCATGTCCACAGTGACCTCAGCTTCCTTCTGCAGTGCATCAAGGGCCTGCAGGCCACAGCYGGACCCAGCTCATCCAGATGTGGCCACCTGGGAAAGGGGACCAAGGGACAGCACGGAACAGGGAACAGTGGTGGGCTATGTTGGCTTGCTGTGGCTGGTTTGGGCCAASAGGCAAGTGCAGAGGCTGGGATGGACCATGGAGGGGCAAAACAGGCTAGCAGAGAGTGGCTGAGTGCAGGACCCACAACACATGTGCCAGAGAACCTCTGTGTAGAAAAGCTTGGGCACATACCAGATGTCCAACATACCCCCAGGACCACCCCAGATCCCTGCTGCGTCTGCTGCTCTGCACTGAGGTGGGCACTGTGGGAAGAGCAGCAGAGGAGAGATCCATTCTAGCCACRAGCTGGGGCCTGGATCTGGGGTTGCTCCTGCCATGGCTGGTGCCCCATCTCTGCCCAAACCACCATCGGCATCTGCCCCAGCTCAGGTTGAGACCAGCTGTAGTTCATGGATGGCCAGATCAGGAGATCCATAGGGCACCCAGATGCTAAGAAGTGGCCAGAGCCCTGCCAGGCTTCAGGAAGCTCCCACAGCAAGGGGTGCTCGGGGCAGCCATCACACCAGTTAGGCTCTCTCTAGCCCCCATCATCCCCCAATAAATTCAGCATATGAACCTGTATCTGCTCGAAGGGGATCTCAAAGCTGAAAGACTCATTGAAGTAGGGGTTCAAAGTCTTCTTCTTGACTGTAGTCTTCTTCTTCTTCAACCTCTTGCCATTCTGCAGCAGATGGATCTTCACGTAGGGATCTGGGGAAGTGGAGAGGTCTGTCAGTCAGGGCTGCGATGCCCAGGGGATGACCTGGGACATGGTCTAGCCCAGGACAAGATTCACCATGAGGGCAGGAGTCCTGACCAGCTCTCACAACAGTGATGTAAGCAAGGTCCTTCTCTTTCCTTGACTCTGGGCACCTCCCAGGCCCTGCCCTCTGGCAGATAAAGGTGTCTAAGGCTGGTGGCTGAGACCAAAATCTAAGAGGAYTGAGAGGATTTACAGGAGCAAATGGCCAAGGAATGGGGCTCTTCTGTATCCCAAGGACTGTGAGCCTCCATGTAGGRGCTCTGGAAGTGATGGAGTGAGACTGATGGGTGCCGACCTACATTCTGCCTATCACGCCTTCACCATTACCAGCATGCAACCCCCAGCAATAAAGCTAAGCCCTCCTGGATGTACAAATACTGCTGTTCTTGTGGTTAAGCCAGGCTAGGAAAGAGATAAGGACTCCTAGTCAGAGAGTTCAGCCTGCAATGGATTTGAGATGTCTCTTCCAACATAAAACATGCCACTGACTTAGGTTGCCACCGACAGTCCACGTCCCCAAGGCAAGAGGAGTGGGATCAGCAGCAAATGGCAGAACAGCATTTTTAGCACCCAGTTCCTGTGCCATTCTCCTCCCAGAYGCACCAGCAGACCCCACTCCATTTGTTCTTATGAAGGGACAGGAGATCAGGAGATTCATCCCACCACCTCATCTCTCCTTACCCCATAGCCCCAACCAGACCTTCAGCTCCCCGCTAACTCTGGAGACCTCAGGCTCTGCAGACAGCTACCCCAAGCCCTTTAGATAGAAAGTTCCCAGGTCCTCCCTTAGCAAAGGGTGCTGAGAGCACCATGGTGGGGCGTGAGGGCTCATGCTCCCAGCAGCTGGGTGAGCCTGAGTCTGCACCCACCTGAGAGACCCCCAACATCCATCTTCTTCAGGTTCTTGGCCTCCAGGATGCAGACCGTGAGTTTCCCAGCAGTGGGCACGTACCGGAGGGAGATGCAAATATCCCCAAGCTTCTCCGGCTGCCAAGCAGAGCAGGAAGCAGATATCAAAGCTTTGCTAGGACACTGCAGAGTCAGGATGCGATCCTGCACGCAGCTCCTCCCAAGCCCGGCTTAACCTTCTAGCCTGCACAAACGTGAGGCCAGCATGAGCTGGCATCCCATACCCTGCCTCAAAATTTGATCCCTTGGGTCTGAGGCAGGCCAGACCCATCACAACACCTAGACAATCCTGAGCACTGTGGAATGGCCCAGAGAGCAGCGTTCACCTGGCGACTGAGGTAAGCTCACAGCTCAGCTCTGCAAGGCCAGGGTAGGAGCCGAYGGAGGGCCTCATGCTGGCCCAGTTCTCACCTCCTCTTTCTCGCCGCTCTGCAGGTCCCGCCACTCCTCGATGGGCTGGCCCAGGTCTACTGTGTTCATGGGCACTTTCACTTCACCAATGATGTCATGCTTGGAGAAGCGATCAAAGTCATAGATGGCCATCACCAGCGTCTTCCCACCAAGCTCCTGGTAGGGAACCTGCACAAAAGAGCCATCAGGGACTCAGAGGACTCCAGATTATGGAGCAGCCTGGCACCTCATGTCCTCCTGATAGGGAGGGCCAACAAAAAAAGGGGAGGATGGAGTGGAAAATGCAGTCTCATGTTGTAAGAAACAAAAGGGTTCACCTTGAAGGTGAAGGTCTCGTTGAAGGCAGGATTGAGCGTCTTCTTCTGCACTTTGGTCTCATATTTCTTCTTCTTGTCAGGGAGCAGGAACACCTTGACATACGGGTCCGAGGTGCCACCCATGTCCAGAGCTGGCAGTTCGGCAGCTTGGAGGATCCCCACTGTCAGCTAGGAAGGAAGATGGGAGCCTTCAACAAGGCAGCCCAGCTACATGCTCAAATCCCTGACCCCACTCCAGGTCCTACATCACCTCCAGTGCGAGATGGAGCAGGATGTCTTGTGGGGCAGCATTGAGCTCCCCTCTCCCTCCCAAGCCACCACAATTGAATCCTCATGGGATAGGCAGAGTTCTCCTCTTCAACTTTCCCACACAACCAGGGCAAACCCCACTCCTGCATTTCCTTAAGCACCCACTTCCATTTCATCACCTGGTTTGCTTGGAAATCATAGTCCAGCGAGAACTGCAGCTTGCCCAGGTTCTCCGGCTCCTTCTCCTCCTCCTCACCTTCCCCCTCTGTCAGGCCCATTTCTGCATCATCGTCATCCTGTTGATCCTGCAACAGCAGCAGCAGCGCCCAACTCAGCTGGGATCTACAGGTACAGCTGCTCCTCACCAGGAGGGTCAGAGCCCAGCACCCCATCCCAACACCCACACCCAAAACCCCATCCCAACACCCATACCCAACACCCACACCCAAGACCCCATCCCAACACCCCATCCCAACACCCACGAGTGGGGAGACCCATGAGAACCTTCAGCCTCCCCATCACAGCTGGCATCTCAGCAGCCAGCCTTGGCCATCCCCAGGAGGGGAAAGGGGACCCAGCAGGAAATAAAGCCCCCGTGGAGCAGCACAAGGTAGCACTGGCTGTGCCCACAGCCACACAGGTTCTGTGGAGGCAGAGAGATGCCACACGGTGCCAAGAGCTTGGGCCAGCCCCAGCCAGGGAGGTCTGGTCCTTGCATGGGGCAGCTGCATGCAAACAACCTGTTGCCAATGGGTGACACTCCAGCACCCGACTTGTGCTACAGAGAGAGCTGCAGCCTGTGCTGGTGGCTCAGCAGGGCCGTTCTCAGACAYCATCCATTTTAGGAGTAGAGATACAGGCTGATTCTCCTACATCTGAGGGTGGCCAGCTCCCTCCCCCAGGCTGCAGGCAGCACAGTCAGGATGGTAGCAGCCACACGCCAACAGTCTATTGAAAAGCAGGCAAGCACCACCCAGCAGGTCTTCCTCCTTGCAGACCAGACGCCAGGATGCATTTAGGGCTGGCAGCCTTTCCAAGGAATGGCCCACCAGCAGGAGCTGCTCAGCTCCGTAGCGCTGTGACATGCCGTCAGCTGGCAGCTCCCCAGTCCCACCCTGGCAGCAGCTGGTAGAGAGGTGAAACTCAGCATGGCACCTACCGTGAAGAGCGTCCCAGGGCAGTGAGAAATAGAACAACACAGGAGGTAGGCAACAAGAGCACAGAGAGGGGAGAGAATGACGTTACGGGCAACATTGACCACAATTAGCACCAGAGGTGGTGGCAGGCTGTCTGCCGCAGGACACAGTGAAGACCCAAGGTCAGAAGGGGGCTTGGGTAGGACAGCAGAAAGCATCATCTCCTTTCAGGAAGCAACCTCATATCCCACTGCTATGGAAGGGTGCAGATGGTCTGGTGGAGGAAGATTCCTCACAGTGTCTCTACTCAGTGCCCATCTGTCCAGGCTTGCCTGGATGCCTACAGTGGCATCATGCTCTGTGGCTCTAAACAGCAGCAACAGCCTCCCCAGAACTCCTGTCCTCCTTAGAAGGCACCGTGCTGAGCTGATGAATCGAAAGGGCCAGGATCAAGCCAGACTTGCTGGTATCAGAGCCTTCCTCCAGCTGCAGCTTCTGACTCTCCTCTGACAAGGAGACAGCCCCAGCTATGCTCTGCAGAGCAGCACAAGTCTTTTGATCATTACTTGCTTGGGATGTCCAAATGGAGTGTCACTTCTGGTCTGACGGTTCTCCTACCTCTCCTGAAAGCAGTGCTGGGCTCAACTTCATGAAATGAGAGAATAACCCTGAGCACCAAAGTCTTAAATTAATAAATGCACACAAAGGTATTAAATTAACTATTACTGATTCAGATTCAGTTTTCGGTCAGTCCAGCCCAGCCAGAAGCTGGTCCTATGCTAGACCACTGCGAACTGAAAGAGGAGACACAGCAGTAGGAGCCTCAAAGCAGGAGGCATCAAACCAGGAGGCAGTCACAGTTGATGGGCAGGGTGCTCACACGGCCCACGCTTTCCCACTAGCCTGGGAAGAGAGGGAAGACGGGCACTGACACCTCACATTAGGAGAGGCTACATTGCTCCATCCTGGAGACCCTGGTGTCCTGCTCTGCTGCCTGAGCAATGCGGTCCATAACTCAACCAAAAGGATGGTTCTAAAACTACAACTGTGAGACACAGCTGAGCCATCAAGAACATTACCTGGTTCCCCGATTTCATGTCCTTCATGTTCATGGCATTCTTCATGCCTTTGCCCTTCTCCTTCTTGTTCTTCTTCTTCTTGCAGCAGCACTTCTTGCAGATGCAGAAGCAACAGGTGAGGATAAGTAGCCCAGCTACCACAGCAATGGCGATGAGGGCCCAGGGTGGCACTGTGGACAAAACCCAGTGCCCCAATCAGCCACACAGCTCCCTGCCCACATCAGCCACCCCACTACCTTCTGCTCCCAGAAAAGAAACCAGCTACTCACAGGGAATCTTGTTCAGTTCATTCATGAACTTGTCCCTCAGCTTGGCGAACATGTCCTCTTTGCTCTCACCCGGGCTCACAGCCTCAGTGGAGTTCTCCATCGTCGCCATGGACATCGTGGTGGCCGCGGCCTCTGGAGCCATCATGGAGGCTTGCTTGAACATCATCGTGGGTCAGGGACTCCCTGCAACACAATGTCACCTTGTGCTCACTCTGCAGTACGTCTGTCCTGCCCTGCCTGCACGAAGGACAACATCTGCATTTACAGCAAGGGTGACAGTTAGGTGCTTCATCTCTGTCCTGGCTGTAGAGTCCATTTGCTAGAGCAAGGAAGGATATAAGAGTCAGGGCTCCTCAGTGCCCTCCACGGCTCTGGGAAGACAAGATGATGTTTGGTTTCCTGGACCTTTCCACCTCTCCTTCCCAGCAGCACCGTCCCAGCCTTCCTTGAAAACACCTTGGTCTGGTACTCGGAGCCTCCTGCGGACATTAGGGATGCTGCTAAGAAGGAGATTTGCCTGGAGAGACCATGTGGGATGAAGTTCAAAGAGGCACTTTCATCCCAAGGAAGGATGAGTGGGATGGGGTGCGGAGCATCAGCAAGACCATGCCTGCCAAAGGCAGCACATCAAGAGACCAGTTAGACCACTGTCATGTGCCTCTGAGGTATGGTCCTGGTGGCACACTCCTGGGGAGGGGGACACGGGACACCTGCACCCCTCTGCCTGTCAGTGGCTCTTCTATGAGCTAGAAAGAAGTGGTGGGGAGAAATGACATTGGACGCCTGAGCTCATGGTGAAGCCATTCCTGGACCAACAGCACTGATGAAGACCTGGCCAGCGCAAGGGATTGCCCATTGTGGGCCCTCTTCCAGCCAGGTCCCTGCACAGGCGATCCCTSTGTGCTGCACACCAGGCTGGCAAGGAGCAGGTGAGGGTCAGGGGCTGCCCCTCGGCCATGCCGGCCACTGCTGGTGTGGTCCAGCACAGGCACCACGTGTCCATCAACCCTCTTATGGAGATCGCATTTATCCCCACGCATGGACAAGGTTGCCCAACATCATGGCCTGTTGTGGGGGCTGATCCTATCCCTCTCTCTTATCAAATCACAGCGCAAAATAAGCTGGAGCTGGAGCTTCTGCAGGGCCACGTGAGGGTGAGACATCTCATTTGACTGATTATTAGCCTTTTTCTGGCAGTGTCAGCAGGATGGTGAAGTCTGATGGCTCATTGCCAGCTGGGTGCCATGTCCTTACATGGCTCCAGGCTCCTTCCCACCTTCCAAGCACTGTGGAGCCAAGCGCCCTTTGCCAGAGCCCTCCTGGACAGGCCTGGTGGCACTGGTGCCCCAGCCGGGAGGGAGATGCAGCTACATTTGTGGGGTGCTCGCTCATAGACCCGTTGCAGGCTCTCAGCAGTTTTGGAGATGACCCTTGAGGGATGATCGCACCCCCTGCACTCCTCCATCCCCTAGGTCTCCTCCAAAAAGCAGCAGAGTGGAGTCAGCAATGAGCTTGCAGAGGAAAGATAAGAGCCGGCAGAAAGCCAAGCAAATTAACGGTGCTGGGAGGTTAAGGAGAATTAAAGGATATTCAGCAGGGGAAGCAAAGAGTCGCACGGGAGCTCTCATAACCGCGGAGAGCGCTGGGCTTGCTGGGCGTGAGGGACCTCCCTGGCAGGGCAAGAAGCCCCTTTGCTCCCTCAGTGAGAAATCCAGCACTGCCACCCCCACAGCTCCTCTGTCCCCTGCGTCCTCTGCGGATATTCCAGCACTGGAAAGACTGCAGAGAGATAATTCTGTTAATAATGCCATAAATAACTCCAAGAGGGACAATAACCTTCACTAGTGCATTCAAGCTGTAAACCCTCGGCTCGGGTTTATGCGAGCGAGCTGGGCTACGCTGCCCGCACCCCGCTGTAGCCCAACAGTGGTGGGTTACGGCCAGCACAGCCCACCCCGGCTTCAGGAAGMCACAGGAGAAAAGGGAGCTGATGATGACGATCCTTGTCTCAAAAAGCCAACTTGGGCTAGACCCAGGGGACGAACGCCTTGAGCTCGTGCTGCTCAAGGTCACGGCTATTAACAGCAAACGTCGCGCACTTTGATGCCATTTCTAAAAAGCTCTAAGTCCAAAGGCCCAGCTGAGATTTCCACAGCAGCTTAACTTAATAATAATAATAATAATAATAATAATAATAATAATAATAATAATAATAATAAAAAAGAACAGCAGCAGCCCTGACCACGCAAGGCAACATCGACGACACCACCCGCGTCCTCCTTGCAGAGCCCCAGGCTCCTGGCCCCGCACCAAGAGCTGCTGCAGCCGCACGCGCAACTACTGGTGGAGATAAAATTTCTCCCTCTGCCATCCGTCCTCACTGCTWTTGGACGGGAGAAAGCACGAGTCCAGCCTTTGCTATCGTCCAGAAACCAGCACAAGGGAAGGAGGCCACGGCCTCCCCACCACCCATGTTATTTTCCTCCCTGAACTGCTGATCAAAAGAGTTTCTGGCCATCTGTTATGGAAAGGGCTGAAAACTATGTCACCAAAGGGAGAAAACGGGACCGAGCAATGCACACGGTGAAAGGCAACGTGCAGATGGAGGGTTGTGTCTCCACCGCGCTCCCACACGCTGCACTGGAAGGAAAATCGCCGTCGCTGCCTCGTGCCAGGATTCATCCAGGTGGACACAAATCACAGGGCTCAGGGAGCCTTGGGACCCCTCAAGGTGAAGCACGTCTGGATTTGCACCACGAAAGACCATCATCTGCACAAGCAAGCAAGGTGATGCGCAGACATACGGGATCACAGGAGAAGAGGGAATATCTCTAACTGGAAGTAAGAACTGGAGCTATTTTCTTTAGGACTAACGTATTTCAGTGCCAGGGTGAAAGGAGCAGAGAGTGATGGCATGAAGAACCAGGACTTGGCAGGAAAACTGCACCCATTTTAGCAAATGGATGACCAAAGTGTGAGAGATGAGGGGACAGTCAGGTGGAAAAAGCTACTGGCGTCCATCAGCCCAAGAGAAAACAGCAGATTTAAGGATGCTATCTCCGTGCCATCCCCAAGCGTTGCCCCAAGCATTGCTGCTTTGGAGACACAGTGCCTCCTGGAGCAAACCTGGTCCCGGCCAGATGGAGCTACAGATCAGCTGCAAGGCGAGGGCGTGCGCCGGTGCCAGGCAAGCAGCGCGGCAAGGCAGTGCCACCGGCCTCTGCTGAAATTTCAGAATTTAGGGCTGGCACTCAAATTTCCAGCCCCKGGAGTCACCTGATTGCAGGACACATTGATTCCTTCTTTCTCCCTTGCTCAAATGAGCCCTTAAGCATTTTGGGTGCTGGGAAAGATGAAGGCAAAAAGAAGCAAGCCCCAAAAGACATGGCAACCTCATGGTTTCAGGGTTTAAGAGATTTGGCTCATAAATTTTGATCGCTTGAGGCTATGAGTCTATAATTTTTCATTGACGAAGAATCCAGAACACGCTGGGAAATGTCACCAGCAACAACAAGGTCAGGCATAGGAAGCACTTAAGAAGCTCAGCCAAGACTCAGCCCTCACCTCCCATCACCCAGATTTCAGATGGAACTCTCTTTTCCAAGACCTACTGCTGCCTATGTCGAAACCACCAACTGACCCATCACCCCATGCTTCAGAATGGCTATAAGCTCATCCTGTGTGCGCTAACATCCCAGCTGCTCCACCTTCAAAGTGGTCTGGGCTATCACTAGCAGTGCCTGCCTCGTGACCTGAGGACAGGAGGATGGTGAGACCAGCTGAGACACCAACATCTCAGTAGCTTCCTGGAAGCTCTTTCCAGCCTCTTTCCCRTTGGAAATGTGGCATACACAAATGTATGCCTGTGCATCAGCCCAGATGCATGCAGACACCCTGCATCCTTCACCTCAGCTTATGGAYGGTTTGAAGGCCACAGGGTGTTGCTCTTGCCCAGCCCACGTGGCCAGGGATGGACATGACCAAAATCATCCCGTTGCCCAAGCAGAAGGTACATTGGTGGGGACTGGTGCAGCCAGGACCCAGCTGATTGATCCATCCCCATTGCCGCCGGAGCACCAGCCCCACYAGGAACACCAGCTTTGCTCCGTGCCAGCAGCAGCCAAAGGGCTGCTGTTTGTTGGGATTTGGTGCCATCCAAAGGGACTAAGCCAACGGTRAGGATTCATTGTGGCAGGCAGCAGGTTAGCGGTTACAGCAAGAGGACAAAGCGCTGACGGCGAGCGCGTTCATCACGCCTTTGGGCGGCTGTCAGCAGCAGGAGMTGAGCGGTCACGGTGGAGGCTTGACAGGAGCAAGATGGATGAGCCCGAGCTCAGCGCGGCTCCCTGGAAAAATTCCCATGGCCGGTGCCGCCGGGCCCCAGCAAGGTAATTACTGCTGGGCTTGGTGGCTGCGTGTCGGAGCAAGAGCAGCCCGCGCAGGAGCTGGGTGAGCAGCCGGGAGCACGGGCCGGTGCCACTACCACCAGGGTGGCAGATGTTATGTGACCATCATGATGCCMCCATGTATGTGCCCCGAGAGGACAGCACAGTTTCTCCAGCTGTGGATGCACGTGGAGTTGAAAGCCCCATGGTCAATGCATCATGGTTAATGCATCACGGGCCATGCTGGCCCTTGGCATCCAACCAGCAGGTTCTGTGAGAGCAACAGCAAAAATAGCACTATAGCCCAAAGGGAAATGGTACCTGAATCCCCCAAACGGTCTTCAAATATCTCCAAATCCTTTAGGATGGGAAAAGACACCAGCAATGGTAAAAACAYCCTCCAGCTGTGGCATGCCCCAACCCTGCACCCAGGCCCATTGGTGGCTCTCCAACTACCACCTCCTCTTCCTCCCCTCTCCGAACCATGGACACAACCACCCTCATGAAGCAGGTGGAGTCAGAAAGGGYGTCACTGGCTGTTGGCATCTCCTGTAACTCGGCTGCACACGGAGCAGGGCTGAGCTGGGAGGATCGGCTTAATAAATGCTCTCAGCACCCTGCAGCTACTGCACTTGCTGCCTGGCTCCTCTGAAGGTTAATCATGATTAGTGCAAACATTTCCAAACTCCATCTGGTCTCCAGGGCACAGGCATAATATGGAGACGGGGAAAGCTGGTGGCAGCCCTTTGCACCTCTGTCCCTCCTCCTGGGCTCTAAAGC